CTCATCATACTCACCACACGAGCAATATTTGGTCATATCAATCTTCCAACCAACTTCTACTAGTGCTAATAGCTATATTTTTAATATATTTCTATTGTGAGATGAAAATCCTACCTTTCCAGTAAGCCACTTTTAGTCCAAAAAATGTTTTAGTTTTTCAATTCTTTTATCCCAAATTCTTTAGTTAGATATTATTTGAGCACGAATTTCACCTTTTGATTATTATCTGTCACAATAATATTAATAGTGCACAGCAAAAGTGAAAGTACACCTGAATCAAAGTGGTCGCTCTAACTCTCTCCGTTGCTAGTATTACTTTAGCAAACCTTTCAAATCATACTATGGGGGATGGCTTGATCCCATAGAGTGTTTTTTTACACTTCGTGTAGAAAAACATTTTTTACATCAAATAGTTGTAGTTGTCAATCAAAGTTGGTAACTAAGTACAATAAGTCTTGCATTGATTTATCTCGGCAATCGGTGTGAAAGTCTTGGTAGTTTATCGCATAAGTTTCAGCAATATCCCTGCTACTAGTCTTACTAATTCAGCTTTATATTTATAGTAAAGATCCACATGCACATTACAGGTCTCCTCTATTAAGTAAGTCCATTAACCTCATATCTAATTCATTTTAGTACCAGTACTTCAACATTCATAACTTTTTTTATTTCTCACAAAATAATACTTCAGACATTTATTAGGAATAGATACAACATTTAGACTCGTTAGAAAAATTTTGTGAGATGGAGATAGAAAAAAGGTTTACTACATTCCCCAATCCCATTTTTTAGTGCAATACGAAAATCCATATTAGAAACTAAAGCATTCTCAGAAATTATCCTATTCCCAGCACTTAACTCAAATGCTTAAACTTGCTTTAGTTTAGGATCCAAAATTTTCCTCAGTGAGTACGACTAAGTGAATCCTAGATCTTGTATTGTTACTAGTCCAAGTTTCATTGTTTGGACTGTGATGTAACAAGGCTTCATTTTTTGGGTTTAAGGCAACTGAAAGGCTATAGTGTTTGGTGGTGTGAGAGTTAGTGGGATGTCAAAAAGAATAAGTTGTTATCTTTTGACACGGGCTCCCCCTTAAGATCAAGTGGCTGAATAATGGCCCTGTTTCAACAATCACAAAGAGTCTCTCACCATTTTCTTAAAATTTATTAGCAACACGAACTCGAGATTCTAAACAAGGACAAGTATACGGGGGCATACTAGACAAACACGTTTGCAAGAGTGGTCATCCCCATAAGAACAATTTTCCTTTTCAACCTGTTAACTGCATAGAAAACTTCATCGTTGTAGAATCCATAAAGGACAAAATTCGCAAGTTACTCCTTAAAAGGCACGTGTAGGTAAGTTAAAGGCCAATCAAGTACTGCACTTTCCTAAATCGACCGATTCCAAATGTTAGCATCCCCACATTGATGTTGACCAAATTGCTTATTAATTGATCCACAAAACAAAAGTCCCCTAAAAGATCTAGATAAGAGAAGTGATGTTAAAGAAGATATGCTTGTCCCCGACAATAAGAGAATAAAGTAATCTTTAAAGAATCAAACAACAAATGTGAGACTTCAAACTAAGGCCATCAACCATCATAGTGATCCAAAATGAAGACAACCCCTGCCTAACCCCTCTTTGGGCTCTATAAAAACAAAGAAAAATATTCAACTCTTGATTTCATACTAAAACCTTTAATAGAGCGGAATACTTGCTCCAAAAAGTTGCTTAATCTCTAGTACAGTTGTAATACCTGGGTTCAAGAATTTGCCCCAGAATAATTTTTTCAATTTATAAAATATATATAAATAATTAAAATTTTATTTTAATTTAATTTTTGTTAAATTTTTTAGAAAAAATGAATTAGAAACGAAATTAAAAATAATTCTGGATAAAATGGGTGAAAGTCTAAATACGATGGATGTTTTTGAAGGACAATTTGATTTCGGACGTAAAATCGCAAAAAGGAAATGTTTGGCCATGTAAGACAGCCCGGTCAACAGCTACGGTGAACAAGGACACGCCTTGTGGCAGACGCTGACTTTGGTTTAACGCAGGCGATCCACGTGCCTGAGAGATCTGATGACCCAAATCGCATCCCGCGCGCACGAACGACCCAGATGCATTCCCTCTTTAGAAACGATTGGGGGGACGAAATTGATCGTGATGGACGGAAAAGATTCGTTCACGCAATCAACCTAAATGGAAAATCATCGAACGATCCTCCTAACTCCACGTCGACTCGAATGAGTGGCCTACATCAGATGGAGAGGAGTATTTAAGCTCCTCTTCGCAGGGAACCAAAACCCTAGTCGACAGAAGAGTGATCGAAGAAGAAGAATAAGGCAGCTGGGGAAAAAACCAGATGCCGGAGAAACAGGCCGACCACCATCGCCTCACTGAAGCCACCGCCGACGCCAAAACAAGTATTTTTTCCCCTTCTCGCTCGGAATTCAATCTCGAGTCTCCCTATGCCCATATCAGAGCAAAAAGGCCGATGAATGAACTGGAAACCGCGGGCAAAACTCGGCCGAGCTGCCGCGACCAAACCCTGAAACCCTATCCGATGACCCCCTTCCTATTTTCCGTTTCGCATGATTTTTTGACCATTGTGTTCTCTGTCCTTTTTTGGTGCAGATTAGCTTAAGGAAAACTTCGACCGCGAAGGAGGACCGACAAAGCCGCCGCACCCAAAAAGCTTATACCAGTAGGATTTTAATTTTTTATCTTTTTCGGCCAACCGAGACTTCCTAACTGCATGTTTCGTAGGTTTATGGCCAAAACCGGCAAGCTCGAGGCGAATTGCCGCCGCGAACGACGGAACCGACGCCGGAGCAGCTGAGATGCTATTTCATCCATTTTCGATTGTTATTTAAGTTCTTACCGGGCGAAAGGCATTAAAGAATGAATACCAGGCAAAAGCTCAAGGCGAGACAGAATAGAGAGTACAGTAACCGATCGAAAGCTGGATTCACAGGCAAACCAGACTGACTTACCATAGAAAGTCAGGCAGAGAATTTGTTTTCTTTTTTAAAATTCATTTTCTTTTGATAAGCAAGAAAGCAGCACCACCATTCTGAAACCTTAAAATCGGCCGGAAAGGTTTTAAAACGTTTGTTTTGGCCTTTTGGGGTATTTTGGGATATGTGACAGGTGTTTGAATTTCCGCATAAAAATCCAAGAAACCTGGAGACCGCTAGGAGGCACAGTGAAAAGTACGGTGTTTCGGACACTGATCCGGAGTAAAAATCTATCACCTTTTTTCCTGTTACGATAAATTGAAGTTTAATAATTAATAATATTGTATTTTGCAAAAATTAGAAAACCCTAAAATTAATTACATATCATTAGTGGAAGGGGACCGGTCAGTGCATATTTTCTCTAATTTACTGTTTATTTTTTTCTGTAGTGCTTAAAATGTTTAATATTATATTGTATGCATTAAATTGCTAGTTTTAATTGCTTTCTCGGTTATTTATTTTATCTAACTGCATACCCCTCATTTGTTGAATTGTTTTGCAATAAATGTCTCAATCATGTTTCTTAATGTACATATCGCCCATTTGCATGACCTACTGTTAATCTGTAAATATGAGATATTTATATGTAACTGCTAATTAGTTAATGGTGTGAATCTATATACGAAAGGTTTACTGGATACCCTGAGAAAGGGTAGATGAACCCGATACATAGAGAACTCTACCGTGGACATTATCTTACTCGGACGGGACTTATAAGTCCCATACCAGAAGGTTTTGAGAGATATGGTTCACCCTCATACCGGATAGGATATCGAGGCGATAGTGTTTGGTGCCCATTACTGTACGGGATGTGGGAACGACCAGTTAATTGACAAATTTGGATATTGGGTTCACGCGAAGTGGGACATCCCTATGGACCTCCAAAGTATCAATAAGTAGATAAAAACGAAAATTGTTGTTCTTACTCACTTGTACATAAAATCATAATGTTATTTGAGTTATTGTTTTCATAAGTCGATTTTGGAAACTGGTAACGGTAAGTATGCAATAAACAGTTTTATGTTAAATGAATTTACCTAAATTAAGGGTTCCATTAGTTGTTTTACAATTTTTACCAACTTTTAATTGTTCGTATAAGTGATTAGTGTGATATTCTCATTAGGGTAGCGTAACTCATTCCTATATTTAACAATCTCGTATTAAAAAGACCAAGATTCAGATCTTCAACACTAGGAGAGTTGCAAATAAAGGTTACCTTCGGGATCCCATCTAAGTTGCTAGTGGATGTTAACCCTATAAAATTTTAGTTTCATTCATGTTTATGTTATTTTAACTTCTTTAAAAGGGATATTCCCGTAACTTTATTGGGCATCCCAATTTACTGTGTAAAAAATATAAATCCTAATTATTTTTTGCTTCCGCTATTTTAATATATATTCTTTCCCTTAAAGTTTCGATCCTTTACAACAGTATCTTTATAATGATCTTATAACAAAACACATACTGTGAAGTTCATTGTACTGAGCTTGGTGCATATGATATATAGGTTCTATAGAGTATAAGAATATAGGATATATAATCACCATCTAATGTCCTATATAGTTGGTTTCATACTTATATATATATATATTATCTTCCCCTACGTAATTAAGTTTTCTATTCATAGTTTTCCATAGCTTAGAGTCCTCTTAAGTAGCTCGAAGATTTTCTTTTCATACAGGATAAGAATTAACTTTTTCCATGCCAACATGCTTGCATATGATATATATCCATATGTACATAACAATTTTTTGTGTACTCCCTTTTTCTTAAGCAATGCTCTTCCTAGCATGAGAAGGAGTTTATGTTTGGAATATGGGTTCCTAATATAGTATTTTCTCGTATAAACTTTCTTGTACGTAGTTAGTTTCCTTTCCAACATGGACTAGAGTTATAACATGTCCTTTAACAATTACATTGATTGTAATATGAGTTCTTTCATTAGAAGAAATTTTAAATTAGAAAAACCAAAGATAATGCAAATACATATCATACCGCTTGCAATCAGAGTTTTTCCCCAAGTATGATTTCAAATCTTCAAAGCATTTTTTCTCTAAAGGAATCATCTCGGAAGCTTTAGAATCCAGAGGAGAAAATAGTTTACAAAGAACATGGTGTACTAGCAACTACAAAAGTAAACAAAAAGAAAAATTTGTAAGAAATTGTGTGCAAACAGAAAGACTTACAACAAAGCTAAGGGGAAATTAAGAGATTCAGAGGAGGAATATACCTGCGTAAACCACGTAAACTATGATGGTGTGAGGTTAACAATGGAATTATAGGTGGAAGCAAATCTTCCAAATGCTTGAATTGAACTGCTTGATTTGAGTGGACTATGACATTAGCTGCTATAAAAACATATGAAGAAAGAGCCTGCATAACAAGCCTAAAAATCAATATAACATAGTTTGCTACTCAGGAAGCAAGAAAATACTTATATATTAGAAAGTGTTCAAAAACCAAATAGAAAACTAACAGGATTTTGGTGTAACAACATTCTTCAAGACCTTATGTATTTACTTAATTACTCAAGTAACCTTTCTGAGTATCCCCCTTTTTAAATGAAGAAATTATAGCACATAATATTCTTTGCAACTAAAATCCAGTTAGTCTCCAATTAATGATCATGTACAACAAATATTATGTTTTATAATGTCTCCACTTAGTTATATACCATGTGACATCATAAGATCATTCGTATTCTCTCTTATGTCAGTAAGATATAAACATGGATAAAAGAAAATTTCTTGTTATCTCAACTATAACAATACAACCTATTTATATACCTTTTACATCAAGAAAATAGGAAAAAATCTTACATGGTATGCTATAAATAAAACCAAATAAGTAAGAGATGCAATACAGAACCTGAACTCTCATGTTCACCATGAATGTTCAAAAGAGTTATTTTATACTAATGGTGGTTACAATAGTCCTAAAGTTAAGAGTAATAAATTTCAAACTTGGTTATCCTGATTCACAATCACCACTCATGAATCAAAATTAAAATTTCTTCTGTAATTACAATTGAGAATTAATCTTGATTCAACCATTGAAACAATTGACAATCTTCATTTTTGTAATAGCTATTAAATTCCATGCATAATCATACTTTATGTCGCAAATCAAATATATCATATGAAGGTGTCATTGATAGCTCTAAGATGATGTTATCGAGGCTCATTAATGTGCTGACTCACCCACATTCGTGAAAGTGGTAGATAAATCTTTTAACCAGTCCTGTAAAACCATCAGTCTCAACTGATCTACCAACACTGTTGTGACTGGCTTGAATCGGAGAGTTTGTTGGCTTAGAAACAGAATAACAACTTCCATGAAACTTCAAAAAGATTATCAACATCTATTTGGCGAGATGTATAAAGTAGATATGTATTAGGGCCAAATTTTTGAAGGACTGAAAATGGACCAAGTGTTACCCATCACAAAGTCACCAAATTGAAAAAGCTCTATAATAGAAGAATCAAGGAAAATAGGCTCTTGGGGTGATGGGGGATATGTGGGAGATTTTTAGGGTATGGCAGGGAAAGCAATGGTATCAGATTGTATAGCAACCTGAGCCTCTAAAAACTCCTCAGGGTCATTAGGAGGACAAACAGAGGCAGCAACAAGACAAGCAGCAACAATTTTTTCTTTTCATTAACCTAGTAGTCTTCATCACGTGAAATTCAATTGAATCCACAATGTGTTTCAACAATAAGCAACTCATAGGATTTGTGTTCTAGAACAAAGCATGTTGAGGCCACCTAGAAGCAATGTGACCAACAAAGGGAAAATTGTAGGATTTCTCATGACAAGCATGTCACTGAACTGAAGACCCATGTGACACACAAGGCTACTATAAAGAGGAATGATAGAACTAGATGCTGGCAAGATAGCAAACTTTGGTTGTAGATGGACTGAAAAGCATATTTAAACTCAGTTGACTCTGCTAAGAAAGGTGACAGTCAACGAGTATTAGGAAATTTGAAATACTTGTCCACTAGAGCATTATGATAGTACTGTTCTAAAGAGTTAGAAGAGTACAGTGAAACTTCCCTTTTAAATTCCACAATTAGGCTCTTATTGGTTCTATAAACAATGGCAAAGAAGTCTTAGTGAAGTTCACATCTAAGCATAAGCTCTTCAAACCAAGCTATATAACTGGCTAAACGTGATTTGTTGCAAGTTTATTAAATTCTCAAACAAGCAACTGTAATAGTAGGTAGCAAGGTGCTTTTATTTTACTTTGTTTCATAACCCCCATTATATGATAGTTATACATTTAAATACTCAAAAAATTCGCTAGATAGATTGCTACTACTCCCTACTAGAACCTACCAACTTCTTTTTGATGAAACTAACACATTTTACGTCAAAGATTTTATGGCACTCAAACAATTGCCCGAAGAATCTAACAATCCAAGAAAATACTACGATCAATTCATAAGAAGAAACATCAATGTGGATCCTTTTTGTAACTCTAAGTTGTCAGCATGCCTAGCAGGCGATGGCAAGTGCCTATTAGTTCTACCTGGAACTCGACAATGAATAAATTGCCTATGGGAGTATCGAAGGCGTCATATTCATATCAACTTGCATTGTGGAGCGTCAGATGAATTCTTCAGGCTGTTTTTCCTAGTGTTTTAGGATTTGAACTATCATTATGTCCAATTTAGTGAGCATACAATCTTGGTCATCCAGAGAAGTTGAAGTGGCTGTACAATCTATCATAGAGGTTAGGGGGTAAAACATAAAGTAGCAAATAAACTTATACAAACCAATGGATAAAAAACAAGAAGCAAAATGGAAATTTTAGTACCTTCATGAAACCAATGAAGAAATTCCAAAAAGTCCAAGTCCATTCACAAATTTGCATAAATGGACTTGAAACTCAAAGCAGCTCGTCTTAAGTAGCTCAAGATAGCTTGCTTCAGCTCAAATGGTAAGCTCAACTTAGAAGGCTTAATGGCTAAGCTTGACGAGTTTTGTTGGGAAATATTCACTATACAAGAATGTTTATCTTTGCATAGTTAGGTAAAAGGTATATTAATAAAACACTCATACAGGTAATTAATTGTAGGTTTCATTTTATTACCCTACAAATGCCCCTAATTCAATAGTACACACAACATTCACGCTTCCATATGGTATCAGATCCCCATGTTAAAAAAAAAACATGAACTCCGCAAACTCTATTTGGCCTTCATTATCGAAATAAGACACAAAACCCTAACGGGGCAACCTTCATCCCCGACCACCAACACCTAGCCGCTGACGACCACAGACCGGCTACCAGCACCAATACAGACCCTCATCACGGGCCCAGAACCCTCCAACTGCGCCTCCAGCTGCACTCATCTCTACCTAGTCATGACTCCAGCCTTCAAGTCGAACAGGCAGAAGTAGCCCAAGGGAGCTGCTATCCTTCTTGCTATCAAACCCCAGTCGCACTCCTCCTTGTGCATGTTACCTGTTCAGCCAGCCTCCTTGCACAGCCACTATCCGGCCATAATCACCATAGAAACAATTACGCACCAACCTGTGCACTACTACTCCAAATGGCAGCATGCCGCTATCCAAGCCGCCTCCTGTCCAGCCGGTAAAATTGTTCTTTTGGCTTTGTAATTGGCCTTAATTGCCCGAAGTTTCTTTTAAGAAATGTCAAAGGTTACATTTTAATCTACCGATACAAACTTGCCATCTAAGCAATTCTTCTCATTGATTTTCCTTTTGCCCTTAAATAGGTTGAAATAAATTGGAACCATTTAAACAATTCTTCTCATTCAATCTATATGTTGTCTAAATACTTTAGAGCTCTCCTACCGGATGATTGACGAGATCTTTTATGGTATGGAAGTTGTGTTGAAAGATGATTTTATCTTTGTCATTTCTGATATTCTATGCTCCAGAACAGCACGTTGGGATCTTTCCTAGAAGTATCCGTACAGCAAAGAGGACTAGCAAAGATCCTAGCTGTTATGCATGCAGAAAAGAATTTGAGTCCAATCAGGGAGCCAATTATTAAGATTGGAGTCAGTTGTGCAAAAATGAAGGTCACCAAAAAAAAAGAATGATGAGAGTAAAGGAGATTATACGTGGGGGGCCAGCTTTGGCTTCTAGGAGTGCACACTAGGAGAAAATGTACACCAGAATGGAGGCACGCTAGAGCCGCTTCATGGAAAGGATGCACGTGTAGAGGAACATGCAAGCAACAGGAATAGGGTTGAGGAAAAGGACTCTTTACCGATTTCGAAAAACACCCTTAGCAAGTTTGTATTATGCTATTTGTCTCTTCTTAAACAAGACGAAAAGGACTCTTGGATGAAGGAAAGAAGTTGCAGCCCTTTCCATTCACAACTGATACAAGTAGACTCTCCTTTTCTAGTACCATACAAGTAGACTCTCTGTACCTCATCTGCCAACCTCCCTATCTTCAACACCTAGATGCACAAAGCCTTGAGTGATGATGGCTTTAGAAAAACACAGAGTGCCTGGATGCAATCAAGCCCTAGTTGAAAACAGACATACACAAAGGTTTAAGGCGAACTCGCTAATAGCACAATCCTATGCTAGCTTAGTTGCATCTGAGTCAAGAGGGAATGTTCAAGCCGATACTCACCAATAATTTAGGCCATCTCTCTAATACTGCGTTGAAATTCAATAGTCAACAGCAGAGGAAAGAGAACATTTTGTATAATAGTTTCCTATTATTTACATTGGTTTATGCATACATAAGAACATACATATTTATACATGGTTTCAGTGACAGGAAGCTTTTGATGCATGGATATAAATATTATGGTACACAAGTAACTAGTAACTAAAAATTAAGTATGAAATATTCATATAAGAATAGAAAAAACAAATCTTTGCAGAACACAAATAGTTTCCACACAACGAAAATTCAAGCCTCAACAAAGAAAAATGCATGTCTCTGCAATAAGTGAAACGACAAATCTTTCTATAAAGCATGGGAAAAAAATTAGTAAAAGATAGAAGAATATTATATCAATATTTTGCATATCGTTTTACTTTTCTCCTTACTACAGTTAAGACAGTCGTAGGCAACAAACTTGTGAAAAAGGGCATATAATCTAATGTAAAATTACCTGAGGCCTCATGTCGTAATCTCGTAATATAGGAACTAACTGTTCACCAACCTGAGATAAAATAATAACTAATCAAGCACCCAGATAATTAAATTAATTCCAGTACAATCTAATAACCACAAAAATAATGGTCAGAAAAGGAATCCTATACACAGAAATAAGAAACAAAACAGAATAAAATGTTTTTATGGCTTCTCTTTGGTCAAAAGCGCCATGGGCACTGTCCAAGCAAAAGTATCTTAGAGCTCTATCGTACTTGGGACGCTATCATCCATAGCAGATAAGGGAGACCTGTTACTATACATTGTTTTCAACTTTTCATTCTTTATTTTTTTATTATTTTCCACCAAGGAGGAGGACTTATTCTCCATCTTTGTAATTGTTTCGCTTCATCTATTTTTTAATAAAGCTTCTTTAATCCAAAAAAAAGAATTAATTGTCATCATCATATGTTTATTGTTGTGTAACAAATATGGAGAGCCATTGTTGAATAATGATCATTGCTTTAACGACACTAGCAATCAGCATTTGTCACATGATTGTCAACATTTGAAAATCGTGATTAACCATCCTCCGGTTATCCATGATTCTATAAATGGCTATAAATGATTGTCATTATTGCCTGCCTTTGTTATTGTGATGCAGAACATGAAGATCTTAAAAGTGTACGTATTTTTATAATAGAATATATTTCATATAATTGTAATGTTTATGTATTATTGAGGTAATTAGGAGTTAATTAACAAGATTAATATATTTTAAATCAATATGAACAAGCATAGAGAAAATCCTAAATTCAATTATGCAAGAATCTAGCATATTTGAAACTCAGTGGAACATATTTTTTTTAAGATAAAAAACTCAGTGGATAATGATGAGCAAAAAGTGATGAAAGTGTAAATTGGTGAAAATGCTACAAACTAATGATCCAGAATTAACAACTGATATCCAAGCTAGGAATGCAAGCTAACTGAGATAGTAAAAGATATTGTAGAAAAGATTGTTATTCATGTTGATCAAGTTGAGTTGATAATATTGAGGGATCTCTTGATTTAGTTATAAACAATGGTGTTGTTCACGTTAAAAACAATGTTATTCACATGATTTTACAAAGAAAGACACCCCAGTTGAAGATATTACTCTACAAATTTCTTTCATTCCTAACAGCAATGATGAAAGTTTGACTGTTTTTCCTTTTATGTATTTTGTTATTCCTAATTGGTTCGCTATTTTCAGAATTCTTGATTTCCAAAACATTCATGTCTTCTCATTTTTCAAATTTCGCTAACTTCAAATGTTAAGAAGAAAAGTTCCATCCTTGATATTTTTTCTACTTCGAATTCACATCTCGACATCAAGTTTTCACTAAGTAATATAGAATGTTATAGAATAAAAAAATCCTAAAAGTGGAGATATTTCTCCAATAAGATTTTTTTTAAGATAAAAACAATGCGTATATAATATACGGCACCAAAGGGGTGCCACTCATGTACAAAATATTTATATTTCAATTAGCACATAAATAACCTTCCCAAACTCATCCCACCCATAAATATCATGATCAAGTATAAGAGCCCCAAAAACATTGATCCACCTGTCCCTAATACTAGCCATATTGCTCACACACCCCTTAAACACTTTATTGTTTCTCTTTCCAACTTACCCAAAAAATAGTAAGAGGAATAAGCTTAACTATTTTCGAAATTTTACAAATCCTACCCCAAGCCCACAATTCATCTCTAACGCTACCTGCAACCACCAAGGTTTATACGCATAAGACTATAAACCATAGACTATATATTATAAGCCACCAGGCACTATAGATATTTAGGAACGAATATCTATAGGGAATAGGTTTACTATTTTTTATTTAGTTAAGATTTATTCATTAATTCTCTGCTATATATTTCTTGACAATAAAAAAAAAATCAAAATAATCAAAGGGCACCAACGGGGTGTACCACGTATATAAAAGTATCTACAGCTCTAACAAAATATCTATAAGGTCTCATAGATCATCGCTAGAATAAAGTGGATGATCCTTAATCAAAAAGTTTAGGATCTTGAACCAAACATCTTTCGTATGAAAATTAAACTCTATACCCTAGAAAGGCCTCTTGTTTCCATATAACCCACAAGGTAACCAAAGGGATAAGCCTAAATGAAGCTGGATGTTTCCCCAAGTCCAAAATTGATCTACCACCCAATTCAAACCCAATAAACCATATATTAAAGACCATACCCAATAAACCATATATTAAAGACCATAATCAATAAACAAAGGGACACCAAAGAAAAATATGATTACGAGACTCTTGCACAAGTAGCACCCATTCACCGAGATCTTTTTCCTCCATATTAGCTTCTCCAGGGTTAGGATGCGCCCCCTCACAACTACCCATGCAAAAAAAACCCCTACTGTTGCCTTCTCTATCTAAATCATCCCTAACAAAACTTTCTCACACATCCCCTCTTCCTTAACAAAGAATAGGTAATGAGACAACACTGAGAAAAAGTCGCCCCAAGTTCAGCCTCCAAATTGGTTCATTATTAGTCTTACTCAGACTCACCACATGCAAAAGAGTTTTGAGTAGCCTCATATGCTCTACTAATCGTATTTCAATTACTTAGCTTATTTTCTTATTTTTCAGAATTCCTAGATATCCTAAAAAATTCTTATTTTGATTGGATTTTTGGTGTCTATAAATAAGATACCCTAACTTAGTTATTTGGCAAAATAATTATGATTATGATACATATATCGCGTTATTGATTTGATACTTAATATCTGATATCTCTCTTAATTTATCTGGTTCTTCATGTCTATCTAACATTCTTCTATTCTCCTTCTAAATTTTCACCTTTATCCCCTACTTCCCTCTATCTGTCTAGTCTTCTAGATTCTTTCCATATTTTCTCCCTCATAGTAGAATATGAGAGGCTTCTTCCCATTCTATCCCATGTCACTCTCATTGATGGATGAGATTGTCCCGTGTGGCGCCTGACAAAAAAAGGTTTGTCTACTGTTAAATCCTTCTATAGACAACTTTTCAAACATGATGACACTGATTACCTATCCCATATAAGCAGATTTGGAAGGTGAAGGTCCCACCACACATCGTTTTTCGCGTGGGAAGCTAACAAGGAATGTATCTTAACTATTGACAAGCTCCCAAAAAGAGGCAAGGTCTTGGTGAATACTTGTTACTTATGTAACAGAGCGGAGGAAAATTGTAATCACTTAATACTCTGGTGTCCAATGGTTTATAGACTTTGGATAACGATCTACAGCATTCTTGGTATTAACTGAGTCCCGACAGAATCGATGAGGAATGAGATTTGGGCTTAGAAGGGATTGGGATGTAAGAGAAAACAAGTTGAAGTTATTCCGCTTACCATTTCCTGAGTTGTGCGGAAAGAGATGAATAGAGGAGTTTTAAGGGGATAGAGGATGTTGATGATTATGATCTACTTAAAAATAGATGGTTTCAGACCCTATGTTTTTTGTTGACAGATCACTCTGTTAATTCATCTATAGAATTAGAGAGCCTTTTAGATAGACTTATAGATTTATAAATATTTTTGTAAATTGGTGGCACCCCACTGGTGCTAATATTAAAACACATAAAT